ATCCAAAGACCAACTGACTTTGGAGGCTGTACATTATCACCAGCACTTCGGAAGCCCTACTCAGGCACTCTCCCAACCACGACTCATAAAGACAGCAGTTACCTTTCCCGCATTTCCTGCCATAGTAACCATTATATGGACTTCTATAGTTATTGATTAGTTTTCCTAGTTTTGAGTTATTTATAAACAGAATCACAAAATCTATGATTTCCTTTTCACACAAAGCCTTGTTTTCTACTGCATTAGTATCTGCTCTTAATCTTTATGATTTACTTCTTTCCTCTGAAAAATTCTTTTTCAATTGTGAACATCATTTATCAATTACATTTACATCCCAGATCCATCTGAAATTGATTTTTCTACATGGAAAAGATCACTTTCCTTTGATCTACCACCATTACTGAAAGACATCACTGAATTCTGTGTTTCATAAGCTTGTCTACTCTTAGGGGAATATCATACTTTCAGGTGCGGTAGGACTTACTCTTTGATATTTGAAAGTATCATTTTGGTCATGTGGTTTCCCATTTATATTTTATGATCAGCTTGTTATTTTCTATACTATACCCACTGTCCCCAACAAGAGCATCTTAGGATTTTGACTGAGATCACTTTAAATCTGTTCATTAAAATGATTAAATTTGTGCAGTTTGGGAAAACCTAACTTCTTTACAATAGTCTTTTGCATGAAAATTATGTATCTATAGTTATATCTTAGTTTTCTCAGCAACTTTTAAACAACTTTAGTTAGTTTTTAACACATTCAATACCGTTTGAAGATACAATTCTAAGGATGTAATGATATTTCCTTCCTCCCACCCTTCTCTCAATCATTTTAATAGCTTTTTACATAGAGTTCATCTTTCATTTAATCCTAGGTTTTTATGTTTTTGGATACTAACTTAAAAGTTATCTTTTAAATGTATTTTTTAAAATTATTTTACTTGAGAGGCAGTTGCACACAGAGAAAGAAGATTGTCCATCTGCTGGTTCGCTCCCCAAATGGCCACAACAGCTAGGCTGAAGCTAGGAGCCAGAACTCTACCTAGGTCTCCCAAGTGTGTTGGAGGGGTCCAAGCACTTAGACCATAAATGATTGCTTTCCCAGGCACATTTAGCAGGAAGCTGGATTGGAAGTAAAATTGCCAGGACTTGAATTGGCATTCACATGGGATGCCAGCTTAACCTGCTGTGCCACAACATAAGGCCCTAAATTTTATTTTCTAATTGTGACTAATCTACAATATAATGGATTTCTAAACACTTATCTTCTATCAAGAGACCTTGCTAGATTTACCTATTAATTCTAAAACTTTCTGTAGATTTTTTTGAATTTCATATTTTAATTTTTTTTCTAAACTAATTCTATCATCTATATCATTTCTGGGACAGTTGTGATTAGTTAATTTTCTCCACATGATGGGTTATTTCTTACTACTTCTTTGGTGATTTTTTTTATTGGATCCTAGACATTCTGAGTTTAATCTTGTTTCATGACAGACATTCTTATATTCCTGTAACTGTTCCTGACCTTTTCATTTGCTGATTATAGGTACTGTGTATGCCCTTTATATTTCCCTGACTTATTTTTACTATCTTCTTCCTCTTTGGATTTGTTTTGCTCTTTTCTTGCTAGATGCTAACTCATTAACATTCAACCTTTGTTTGTTACTACATATAATTAAAGCTACTACTTTACAGGCTTTGATATGTCATATTTGTGTTTCACATTAATTCAAACTATTTTCCAACTTCTATCATGATTATTCTTTGATCTTTGGGTTATTTATAATTATACTGCTTGACTTGCAAATTTTGGAGAATTTTTTGACTATCTTTCTGCTATTATTTCTACTTTAATTCTACTGTATTGGGAAATATATTCTATATAATATCAGTCTTCTGAAGTTTGTTGAAACTTCCTTTAAGATAGCAGAGATAAGTTAAGTAACTATCCCATGCATACTTAAGAAAATGTATAATCTGTGACTGCTGGGTACAACATTCTATATAAGTCAGTTGGGTCAAAATTCCCAATTTTATGGTTCAGTCTTCTGTATCTTTAATGGGATTTTTTTTTTTTTTGGCTTGTCATTTTGATTTTTGTCTGCTTGTTCTGAGTTAGAGAGATGAATTAACATCCACCAATATAATCAAAGACCTGCCCATTTCTCCTTTCAGTGCTGTCAGCTTTGAGGCTATGTTAAACATATACAATTTAGTACTGTTACAGTTTCTTATCAAAGTGCTCTTTTCCATAATAAAACCTCTTTCCTAATAATGTGTCTTGTCCTTACATTTAAGATGTATCTCTCTTTTTTTTTAAAGATTTATTTATTTTGAAAGTCAGAGTTCCAGGGGCCAGCGTGGTGGCGTAGCAGATAGAGCAACCCCCTCCACATGGGCAGCAGTTCGAGTCCTGGCTGCTCCACTTCTGACCCAGCTCTCTGGTATGGCCTGGGAAAGCATTAGAAGACAGCTCAAGTCCTTGGGCCTCTGCACCCACAAGGGAGACCCGGAAGAAGCTCCTGGCTTCAGATCAGTGCAGTTCTGGCCATTGCAGCCATTTGGAGAGTGAACCAGTGGATGGAAGACCTCTCTCTCTGTCTCTCCTTCTCTATGTAACTCTTTCAAATAAATAAATAAATCTTAAAAAAAAAAAAAAAAAACAGTATAGACAGCAAAGAATAAATGATTCTATTTTCAAAAAAAAAAAAAAAAGGCAAGAGTTCCAAAGAGAGGAGGAGATACAGAGAGATCTTCCATCCACTGGTTCACTCCCCAAATGGCCAAACTGCTAACTCTGGGCAAGGTTGAAGCCAGAAGCTTCATCTGAATCTCCCATATGGTTGGCAGGGGCCCAAATATTTGGGTCATCTTCCACTATTTTTTCCCAGGCCATTAACAGGGAATTAGATCAGAAGAAGAACAGCTGGGACATGAACCAGCGCTCATATGGGATGTCGGTTTCATAGCTGATGGTTTTACCTGCTACATCACAAACACTGGCCCCAAGATGTATCTCTTATAAGCAACACACTAGTTGGATTTTTTCATGTGGTCTAATAATTTTGTCTTTTAAGTAGAATATTGATTTCTCATGAATGCAATTAATTTAAGTATTATAATAATACTTTCCTTCACTCTCATCTCCTTTTCCCTTTCCGCCTACTCAGATCAACCAAAGAATTATTAGTTTTCCTAAGGCTGGTTTATTTTGGTTTGAAAAGAGAAAAATCAAATCTTCTCAGTTATCAACCTGAAAGTGTTGGGTGTTTACTATGGCTCTTTCCTTGAAAACCATGACCTATATAAAACTCCCATAGTTCTGAGACACTGCTGAATCCTGGCTAGTGAAAAATCTATTTTTTTGTCTGTGTCTAAACCTACTCACACAAAATTTCAGAGTTAGCAAATGACTTAGGTGGACGTTGTTTACAAAAAGTTGCAGTCTTGTCTGAGATTCCTCAAGATTTGGCTCCTCAAGCCTAGCTGTTTAGCAACTCCAAAGACCAGTTTCTGTTTCTGTAATTCAGTGATGGCTCCAGGCTGCTCTCTCTGTTTAGCTTCTATGCCATGCACTAAGAACTGAGCAATGTACCAAAATATTTCCAGGGCTTATCTCAAGGTGCTTCCCTTTTCTCAGGGATGCTGGCCCTAAACCCCTGTTGTTTTAGTCTCCAGCGTCCCCTTCCCTGTGTTTTTTTAGTGTGAGGGAGATGGGGGGGGGGGCGCATTTTATACAGAGAGGCAGAAGGCTATGTTTGATAATGGCTACTATATATTATTCAGTCATAAATCCCCAGCATTTCTGATTCCTGTTTCCTAATAATGACAATTGTCTGTGTTTAGGCCTTCAGTATCCCTTTAGGCTACTGCAAAGAGCAGATTTAGATATTTCTGAATCTAACCCATCCATTTCACCTGAAATTCTCAAGTCTAACCGGGTATCATTAGAGATTATACTCTTAAGGAATAAATTTCTGGGCTCTATTCATAAGGATAGAGTAACTGATTTGGTAGTACTGCAGCAGAATCCCAGAATTAACACCACCACCAAACACATGCAATACATGTTCTTCCCAAGTGTGATTACGATGGAATCATTCCATAGATTGCTATATGGGAAAAATCATTATTCTATACCTTACCTGCCAGTTTACTTTCTAAATTGAAAACCTGATTGTATGACTTTGGTTATTCACTATTATTACTTTTTACAAATAAAAGATGTTATGAGTACTCTATCAGTACAACAGTTTACTAACATGTGTTAGTATTCAAGTGTGTAGATGAGCAAAACAGCAGAGTGAGAAACAAAGATAAAGCAAGTACAAGCCAGAGATAGGCTGAAAGCTAGAGGGAGAAGGTAAGAGCAAGACTGAAAGCAAACACTAGGTATGAGATGTATGGCTTTAAAGTACTTGTGGTATAGGGGAAGAAGTTCACAAAAATTAATCCTGCACCTCTCAGATCTTTTTAGAGTTCTGAAACATGAGATTTAAATCATCTTTTCCCACTAGGTATCTAATGACGTGGCACAGAAAAACTCTTACATCACAAAAAATGCTGCAGACTACATATCCTGTTTCGAGGATAACCTCCAATCCAATGAACTCCTAAAAGACTGTTCAAATTATTTATGTTATTGGATTTTGCTAACTAACTGAAATTTGACAATCTTTGCTTAAATCACATATTTAAAGGAGTAATCAATGGTTCTGAAATAAACTGATTCAATAAAATGATGACTCAGACATTCTATCAATGGGAACTGGGGGAGTTAAACTTTTAAATTAGTGCAGAGCTTCCTGGCAAGCACCTTTAAGTTTATCCTGAGAAATATTTTCTTCTAATTTTTGTATACCTCAAAACATTCTGGATTCAGCTTTCAAGCTGTCACGGATAGCGTAGACAATTCAGAACTCTATTGTTATTATAAAGGCAAATTAAATGTATTACTCAATGACATTTCAAAATGTTTAAAAAAACGGAATTACTTTGTTAGTCACAGTGTTGATTGCCAGAGTTGGAGAGGCACTTCCCGAAATAATACACTCCATTCCCAAAGAATCTGAATCTATGCTATATGGAGTTGAGGCCTAAAATACAAGAACAAAATAAATAATTATTAGCTCATATATATAGCAACTTTAACACAGTCTGAAGGGATTTTAACAATTTCTCTAATACTGTTTTATGCTTTCTTTCTGAAAAGAACTTAAATCACCACTGAAATGTCTTCTAATATGATTATATTTTGGTATGCAACTGATGTGACATCACAAAGCTCACATCGCTATGTCCTAATAACTCTTTTAACTGGTTGTAGGCATAAATTGCAAACTTCTGTAGTAAAGATTGCTAATGGTCCTCTAATAGCCATTTTCCCCTTCTCCCTTTCAGTTACAGAACTCTATAGTTATCTGCTCATGGTTAACTAGCTACAGACTAGCTTTTCCAGACTCATCTGCAGCTAGTTGTGGCCTTAGGACGAAGGTGTGGCCAACAGGATATGAGCACAAGTACAGCTTCAAGGATCATGTCTCTGAAGAAAACATGTTTGTCCTGCATTCTCTCTTTCCTGTTTATTGCAAGCTGGAACACCGATATGGTAGTGGTGGACTTGCTTAGCTATAAAGCTGAGGGCAATACCCTCAGAAACACTGGAAAAACAAAATTAAAAAGAACCTAAACATCTGAATAACCTTACAGAACAAAGCTATTTATCTGAGTCTACCAGCTCAGATGTCTATCTCAGAGAAAAATCTCTGGTAATCCTTCAATTAATCCTGTCAATTGTAGTTTTATTTTTCTTGCATTATCTGCTACAACAACTTTACAATATCCTTAAAAAAAAAAAAAAAAAACACTTCACATGCATTGCATGCATTGTTTATAGAACTGAAATGGGTGTCAAAAACAATTAGGGGGGCTGGCGCTGTGGCATAGTGGGTAAAGCCACTGCCTGCAGCACAGACATCCCATATGGGTGCCAGTTTGAGACCTGGCTGCTCCACTTCCAATCCAGCTCTCTGCTGTGACTCGGGAAAGCAGTGGAAGATGGCCCAAGTCCTTGGGCCCCTGCACCCTTGTGGGAGACCTGGGAAGAAGCTCCTGGCTCCTGGCTCTTGATCGGCCCAGCTCCAGCTATTGCAGCCATTTGGGGAGTGAATCAGTGGATAGAAGACCTCTCTCTCTCTGCCTCTGTCTCTCTGTATCTCTGCCTTTCAAATAAATAAATCTTTAAAAAAGATTAGGTTTTTGGCATTTAGCATTTTGAATATATACATTGTAATAATTCACCTCTCCCAATTTTACTGCTTTAGTGACTCTTCAAAAGTTCAACTTCAATGACAAAAGTTGAAGAAGGGCAAGTATAAATATATATTCCATGTATATTCATTTCTCCTCTGGCAAAAGATATTTGTCCCACACATGATACCAATTGAACACACTTTTAAAAATTTTATTTTAATTATTTTGAAAGGCAGAGTTACAGAGAGAGAGAGAGAGAGAGAGAGAGAGAGAGAGATTGGTCTTCCATTCGCACCAGTTCACTTCCCCAAATGGTCCAACAGCCAAGGCTAGGCTGGGCGGGAAGCCAGGAGCCAGGAGCTTCATCCAGATCTCCCATGTGGGTACAAGAGCCCAAACACTTGGGCCATCTTCCACTGCTTTCCCAGGTGCATTAGCAGGGAGCTGGATTAGAAGTGCAGCAGCTGGGACTGCAACAGGGGCCCATATGGGATGCTGACATTGCGGGAGACAGCTTAACCCATTATACAATGGCAGCCCCTGAACACATATTTTTAAAAGATCATATTGAATGAGCAAGAGAATGAATGATTTCACGGAAACAAATTTCTGACATCAATCTATTTATTACTAATTCCTCAGAATGGTTTATTCACGACTTAACCTAAATCAACTTCCAGGCAGTGGGCAGGGATATTGATTTAAAGTTGAGAAAACGAAAAGATCAGAGACATCCTTGTAACCTACAACCCAGTTCACAGCTGCTGGGTAGTCAGGAGTGTGAGATGAAAATAGAATAAGGTACACAAATAGAAGTGGAAGAACTGCAGAGACAACGTGGTTTATGCCTCAGTTTGGTGCCAGTCAACGTATCTATTCAGAAAGCTGCAAATATCATGTTTTCCTAATTCCACTCAGTCATCTCAATCCAAACTAGAGGTTCACAAATTCTCCTTCCCACAGGTAGAAACAGGGAAGCTTGTGTTGTCTGGTTTCATGCAAATTATCCCACATTTATGCTTGTTTCCTCATCTATAACAGGAAGACTATGTCACTTAGTTTAAAGCTCTGTTAAGAATACTGTGAAATAATTCATTTAAAACACTGTGCACAGAACCTAAAACACACAATAAATGCCAGCCACTGTGCTAGAGCACAGCTGCTGCTTAAGCAAGGGCTGCAGAGATGAAGGAATACTCCACAATGATTAGTGAGAAAGGACACAGCTTCGGTAAAAGGCACTGCACTCCCACAAGTTCATGGATTCAACTGCTGTAAATTTTAAGTCTTTTAATTAGGCGTTCTTTCATAGATAATTCAGTTTGTTTCAATAAAGAACACTTCATTACATGATCTGATATTTTTATATATAGAATATGTTTTTGGTAGGTACTTTGATTCTATGTTATTAATAGGCAACAAGTACTCTAACTAGTAAAGTCCGTGGATCTAAGCTTCCCAAAATGTATTTAGATAACAGTTAGCACTACAGTCATAAACCCAAAGAAAGTATCAAAAAACTTAATCTGTGAAACACCGGTTAGCATGTTAAAGATCACTTCTGGAATTTCCTCTTATTCCCTGACAAAATCCCACCAATTCAAGTTCTAATTTCAGAATGGTAGTGGGGAAAAAGCAACTTCCTGAGGATTCTGAATGGTAAGTAAAATAGATTGTGAAGAGAAATCAAAACTTGCAGACAGATTAGGGCGCTGGTGAATTTCCTGTTTTGCTGCACCTCTGTCCCAAGGTTGGCCAGCAGATGTGGACTGTAGACAGCTAAAATTGCCTTTTCTGTCAGGAGCAAGTAAGGAAGAGTTCAGGTAAACACAGCCAGCAACCTGAGCCGGAAGGGATATACCACAGGGTAGAAAGTAAAAAAAAGATCCCATCATCTGGCTTACCCTGAGCCATGTATATACAGATCAGCATCAAAGCAGAAGCTTAAGGAATCAAATTGAAATTATAATCACTGCCCAATGAAGGTGAGAAGAAGAGCTTACAGTTTGAGTCTTAACATAGTTAAGTGCAAGGTAAAATAAAAATATCAATATTCATAGAGATTGTAACAAAACTCAGAATCTATCAAATATAACATTCACAGTATCTAGGCTACAATACAAAATTACCTGACATCCAAGTAAAGGAAAAGGTACCCATTCTCTATAGAATCTACAGACACCCATTCCAAGAAGATGGACAAACTGGAATTATGAGATACAGATTACAAAGTAGCTATTATAATTGGGCTCAATGAAATAAAGATTAAAATTTTTAAATGAAAAAAACCTGAAATCTCAGTGAAGAAATAAAAAATATTTAAAAAGAACAAATCAAAATACTAGAACTGGGGCCGGCACTGTGGCACAACAGGTTAATGCCCTGGCCTGAAGCGCCAGCATCCCACATAGATGCCGATTCTAGTCCTGGCTGCTCCACTTCCGATACAGCTCTCTGCTATGGCCTGGGAAAGCAGTAGCAGATGGCCCAAGTCCTTCAGCCCCTGCACCCATGTGAGAGACCCAGAAGAAGCTCCTGGCTTCAGACTGGCGCAGCTCTGGCCATTACGGCAAACTGGGGAGTGAACTAGTGGATGGAAAATCAATCTCTCTCTCTCTGCCTCTCCTCTAACTCTTTCAAATAATAAATAAATCTTAAAAAAAAATACTAGATCTGAAGAAAACTTGAAGAACTATATATATAATTACATATATATAGTTTTCATATATATGCGTGTGTGTGTATATATATATAAATATAAATATATATATATGGAAAAATGGGTTAGTGCCTCAGAAAGCTATGGGATAATCTCAAAAGGTCTAATGAATATTTTTGATTTCCAGAAAGAAAGAAAGGGGCAGAAAACATATGGAACAAATAATGACTAAAATGTTTGGAAATGTGGTGAGAGATCAATCTACAAATCTGGGATATTTAGTGAACCACCGTAAGGTTAAATTCAAAGAAAAATCACACTTAAAATATAAACAAACTCCTTTTTTTTTTAAAGTTTCGTTATGAAATTTAATGCCTCTTTTTTTTAAAGATTTATTTATTTGAAAGTCAGAGTTACACAAAGAGAGAGGAGAGGCAGAGAGAGAGAGAGAGAGGTCTTCCATCTGCTGGTTTACTCCCCAATTGGCTGCATCAGCCAGAGCTGTGCCAATCCGAAGCCAGGAGCCAGAAGCTAGCTTCTTCTGGGTTTCCTATGCGGGCACAAGGGCCCAAGGACTTGGGCCATCTTCCACTGCTTTCCCAGGCCACAGCAGAGAGCTGGATTGAAAGTGGAGCAGCAGGGACCCAAAACAGTGCCCATATGGAATGCTGGCACTGCAGGTGGTGGCTTTACCCGCTAGGCCACAGTGCCAGCCCCAAATGAACTCTTAAATATAGAAAACAACCACAGCAAAACAGTATCAAATACAGGGAAACAGTGATTGGAAAATGACTGGATTTCTCACCAGAAATAATGGAGGTCACAAGACAGTATCTTAAAAGCGAAGAAAGTGCCACCCCATTCCTACCGACAAAAGGTCGATCCAGACTATATAGCTAATGAAAATACCCTTCAAAAATCAAGGCAAAATAAAGACATTATGAGAGAAAGGAACACCAAGTAAACTTGTTTTCAGGAAAATGTGCACTAGAACAAAGTTATTTAGTCCAAAAGGAAATTTTAACAGAAAGAAAACACGACTTTAGGAATGACAGACATTTGGGTAAATATAAATCTATTGCTTTTGCTGTCTAGTAAGCTTTACAACTCACATAATTATTTAATGTAAGCATTTTCACCCTGTCCTGTGAGATTTACAATGTGTGCAAACTTGATACAAACATG